TTAAGGCTTTGGGGAACCTTTGGGAAGAGCATGATTGTGTTTTAAAATGTGAGGACATGAGATTTGTGAGGGGCCAGGGTTGTAACGATAAGGTTTGGCTGTGTCCCCACCCAAATCTCATCTTGAAATGTAATCCTCATGTGTGGTGGGAGGGACCCAGTGGGAGGTAATTGAATCATGGGGGTGGTTCCCTCATGCTGTTCTCATGACAGTGAGTAAGTTCTCACAAGATGTGATGATTTTATGAGGGGTTTCCCCCTTTGCTCGGCTCTCATTTCTCTCTCCTGCTGCTATGTGAAGAAGGATGTGTTTGCTTCTCTTTCCACCAAGATGGTCAGTTTCCTGTGGCCTCCAAAGGCCTACTGAAGTGTGAGTCAAGTAAAACTCTTTTCTTTATAGCTTACCCAGTCTCAGATATGTTCTTATAGCAGCATGATAACAGACTAATATATAGAGCAATACAACTTTTTCACTAGGGAATGTGAATAAAGAAATGTAGAGAGAATTTGTCCTTAAGCAATTGGAATAAGAGTTGAACAATAAAGTGGCTATGGCGGCTGAGTTTAGTCATGGTAGTGTCAGTTTTATTAAGCCCACATTGAATGCACCATGATACTTTTAAGTACCAAAATACTGTTTTTTTTTTTTCCTATAATATCACTACCTCATGCACACACAAAAATGTGAAATCTGAACCGTTTAAAACTGTAGAATCATACAAAGAGGTTAACAGAACAAAGTGGTGCTCTGAAAGTGTTCTAACCATATTCCTCCCTTGGTAATAACCCTTCCCAGCTATTTTGTTGATGTTTTCAATTCTTTCATAGATAAGCCTCTTTTCATACATTTACGAATAATTTGCATACACATTAGTACAAATTTGAGATTCTAGTTACTTCTGGAGGCCCTGATGGGGTTGGCTTAGAGTGATAGAGCAGGTGCCTTAAGGAAACTAGCAGGATGATGAGGAAAGGGGATTGGGAGAGAGGAGGGCAGAATAAAGGTGGGAGGCACTCCTATACCCAATTTCTAGCTCTTTTCCTAGCCTAAGCATCTCCCTTCCCCCAGTGCTGGGTTCTCTCTTTTTTCCTGCTCCTTTATCCTCATAAATCAGATCCACTTTTTAGATTCTCATCACTGCCATTCCTCCAGCACTATGAATACTATCATGCATCTTATCAAGGGCTATATTTCCCAATAGTCTCCCTTGTTGATACTTTAGCCTAAAGGTCAGAATAGCCTCAGTCCTCTCTGTGGTAGAACAAAGTCTAAAAACAAAATGTAGAACTGTGTTGCTCAATATAGTAGCCACCAATTATATGTAGGTAGATCTTGAAAACTTGAAATGTGGTTAGTCCAAATTGAGACCTGCCATCAACATAAAGAGCATACTAGATTTCAAAGATAGTACAAATAAAATAACTAAAGAATTCAATGCATTTATATTGATTACCTGTCAAATATTCTGGAACTGATTTAAATAAAATATACTATGAATATTAAGTTCACATGTTCTCTTTCTTAAAACAAATGTGGCTACCAGAAAATTTAAAAATTATATATATTTATGTTGGGCAGCCCTGGAGTAGAAGTTGATAGTAATCGTATTTCACTTTTTGTTAAAATACTATAATTAATACTAATGTTAATACAGCCATTTTGAAGTCACGTAAAATAAATACCACAATACTTTTAGGGTTATTTTGCTTTATAGCAATCTCTGTGATATATTATATGCAAATCCAAATTAGGAGAAATGAGTCAGCAGAAACACTGAAAAAAGAAAAATACACAGAACAAGTTGAGGATCAAGAACCTAACTGTATAAAGAACAGAGCAGAAACAAGCTGGTAAGAAAGTAGTGGCTAATAACACTGACTCATGGCCAAAGGGCAAGGGTCCTCAGCTGCAGCTCTTGAGGGTCTCACCTTGGATATGGAGCCATTTGTCATTTTTCAGTTTCTATTATTTCTGAGTAGCTTCATGTGTAGCTTCAGAGGCAAACTTTTCTTTATTAACCAACTTCAACATGTAAAGCACCTTTCTCCTGCTAGGGCTATAGTAGCGAACAAGCCAAGCAGGCCTTTGCCTTAATGTAGCTTTTGGAGAAAGAAACTATTATTATAGAAATAATCAGTATTTGATAACAACTAAACTAAGCATTAACTAAGCCAGAAAAATTGATGTAGCGAGAAGATCTCTAAAGGCAATGAAACAGGTTGATGCCACAAAGAGTTTTTGTTAAGAGATGACTACTCATTCGGAAAGTGACAGTTGAATTGGAACATGGAAGATGAGAGACAGCCAGTCATACAAAAAGCCAGGATTAAGGAGAGAAAGGGGAGAGCATTCCAGGCAGGAGGTAACAGCAGGTGCAACATCCCCAAGGCAGAAAAATTTTTAGTTTGTTGCAGAAACAGTAAAATTGGACTGGAGGGAAGGGAAAACGTTGAAGAGTCAGACAACGAATCAGGTCATATAGGGTCTTGTATGCAATTTGGATTTTCTTCTAAATGCACTGGAAAACTATTGAAGAGTTTTAAGCTGTGGAATTGCATGACCAATTAGGAGCGTACTGCAGTGTTTCAAGTAAGGTGCGATAGAAGCTTGGATTTAAATAATCCCCAATGCTTTCTAACCACATAAGGTTGTGTATGTTATTAAATTTACTAAGAAATAATAATGTTCAGCTAGTTTTTAAAACGTTCAAATCTACCTTTTTTTTTTTTTTTTTAAGAGACATAGTCATGCCATCACCCAGGCTGGTGTGCAGTGGTGCGATTTTTCTCACTGCGGCATCAAACTCCTGGGCTCATGTGATCCTTTCATCTTAGCCTCCTGAGTACCTGGGACTCAGGTACATGCCACCACACTGGGCCATTTTTTTTTTTTTTTGTAGAGACAGGGTCTCACTCTGTTGCCCAAGCTGGCAATTCTATTTTTATTGATTACAAACTTATGTACATTCTTTGAAACATATTTTGAAAATATGAATAGGCACCAAGAAAAATAAATTCATATTTCCACCATGCAGATAAGCACAGGTGACATCTTAGAGTGCACTGTTCCATAATTTATAATTTCTAGGTATCTGTGTGTATACAGAAATAGAATCAGATGTTGTATACTTTTCAGAAAACTTGTTTTTTACTCACACTGAGAACGTATTTCTATATTATTAAATATTCTACAGCATCACAGATTACATGGCAATTCAACTGCATGGATATTTTAAAATTGAACTGATATACTATAGTTAGGAATTTATTTTGCTTCCAATTTATTATTATTATATATTTTAACAATATAATATGTCATGATGATTACCATCCTCCTCTAAATAAATATTTGTGTTCACCCTTAATTATTTACACAGGATAAATTTCAAATCATGTAATGCTATTATAATTTCAAACTATTTTCAAATTTTTAAGGCTTTTGATACAAATACTATTTTTTTCCAGATCAGCTAAACTAATTTATGTTTATATCCCTAATATATGAGCATACACATTTCCTAGAACTTTTGAACACACTATAATAATTTAAAAATTATTTTACTATTTAGTATTCAATTCATAATATATCTCACTATTATTTTGCTTAAACTATATATTTTAAATTTGTATTTCCTTCTGTCTAGTGAGGTTGATTTTTTTTAATATGATTGTTGACCATTTACTTTTATTTTCTTACAATTGCTTTTTCATACTCATTTTGCCATGGAGGTGTCTGCTCAGCCTGGTCTTAAAGTAAATAAAAGGATAAAGAAATGGTTATCAAGGTGTTATTTCTGAATCATGAAGTAGAATCAGGAAAAAGCATTCTATGAATTAATGGCATAGCTAGCACAATTCCTGAAAAAATGATAGCACCAGGACTGACAAGATTCCAAGAGGCTAGCTTACAAGAACATTGTTTAACACAAAATTTTCTTCTGTTCTATAATGTTTGCTGAGAATATTCTCAGAGGTCCCTAAGGATTCCAAAATACTGTGTATGTCATATTTCATGTAATCTTATTTAAAGGAGGTTCCACTTGAAACATAATCTGCTCAACTTGTTCAAGGTTCTGGTCTCCCTAAAACACAGCTCAAATTAAAATATAAAATCTAAGTACCTAGTGAAAGAAAGCACTATATCCACCAGTTGCAAAACCTAATATCCTGTGTTTAAAGTTAGGAATTTCAAATTAATCATTTGTTTAACTAACAAATGGTCCCAAGACACTTTGCAGAAGTTTTCTTATGGGCCAGAATTCTGAAGCGTATCTTAATTCTTGGCCATTTCTCACATAAAACAAATTATTTTATCAAAGATGCCAAATGCTAGTACTTTAGGCTCCAAATACAGGAGGCTTACTTTCACTGAGAGCATTACAATTGATCTCAGACCAGAGTGAGCGGGGCTCAGTAGAAAGATAAGGTGATTAATTGTCAAGAGATCTGGGTTCATGTACTGGCTTCATTTTACTACTGACTTATCTCCCTGGGTAAGTTACTTAAATAAAGTCATACTTTATTTTTCTGTAAATGATATTTATTCTAAAAAGTTATTGTGAGATGAACCAAGTTACAAAATGTGAACTTACCAAACGATCTCAAAAGTTACATATGAGTACAGAAAATGTTATCAGAGCTAGAGTCACCAACTCAAACACCTATAAGGGCCATACTAACTTCTCAATGCATGAAGCGGATCAACCAGGGCTGTGGGTAATTCTAGTGCTTGTCCCAGTTTGACAGGATTGTTGCAATTATGGCAATAAGATGCCAGTGTTGCCTGACATTTTAATTTTTTCAAAAGAAAAACTATAAATCCTGACTTCATTCATCTTCCACTTTCAAAGTATTGACAGCTAATTAAAATATAAGTCAAAGTAATTTTGTTGGCCAAATAAGTAATATGTATAGATCAAAGTTGGACCATGACTAGCCAGTCTGTAAACTCTTGTATTGTCTCTGATTTACATGGTTCGTAATACTCTCAGACCTCCATGGTGACATCTTTAGTTAAGAGTATTTATTGTACTGAGTGCATCAAATATAGTCCAATCTTACAGTAACCAATTATTTGTAATTATTTCCATGGTGAGGGTTTTTCCCTTCAGGTGGCCAATTACTTCCTATCAAATTATCACTGAAAACCATTATTTTCATTTCCATTTGTAGACATCTCAAGACTTTATTTTCCATTTGGTACAAGTAAATGAAAAGGAAATTATAACAGCCAATGCAATTATGACTGTGATCTTATCTGTCTGGATTGATTAGAAGTCCTTATTCTAATCACCCAAACTCTTTATTAATGTTAAGTTTATTAAAACTTAGGTTCAGATTCAGATTTTTATTAAGGATTTCATTTATGTTATCTTTTTTCTTTTATAAGATGATAGGGAATGCAAGATGGGGAAACCAAAGAAAAACCTAGTTACCAAAGAGACCTGGTCTCCCTGTAACTGGGCTTCACAACACTGATCTCTCTTAAAACCCTTTTACCATTTATCAAAACTCCATCTCTGGTGAATTACAGTGAATTACAGTGGAGTGTTGCTAATTCATACTAATGACTGGGGTACCTAGTGCAGATTGAATTCTGAGAACTGGCAACTGAGCAACAAAGGAAAAAAAAAACAATAAATTGAGACCACTGCATTAAAAAATCCTTTGTTCATTTATTTTTTTTCAGTATAAGCTAGTATTTAATTAATTTGGTTAATGTATCATTGATACTAGTAAAAATTATATCCCTAAATCTCTCCAACGTTAAATATTAGTTTAAAAATTAGTTGCAACTTTATCTGGCAGTGAATTGAAATAAAACACTGGCAGAATAGCAAGGCAAGATTTAGATCAGTAGTAAATTTACTACATTTCCACTTAATATAATATTCTTTTTTCTTTTCAGCCTTGGAATGAGTACCTGGTATTAAATAGGCTTTCTGATTCTCACACAAGAAAATTGACTAGTACTCTAGGGAAGAGTTATCCACTGTTAAACACTCAACCTGCTTAAAGGGATGGCAACTGGATGTTCACAAAGAATTACCATAGTTGCCATGTATGCAGGTATCCACATATTTCCACAGACATCTCCGGGTGAAGACCAACCAACCCTATCCCATATTTCCCACCCCCTACCAACCCGCTATATCTTACCCTCCACTTTTCTTGGAGGATAAAGGAAGAAAAACTGGGCAGAATATAGTAAAAATATAATTACCTTTTTTTTTTAAGTGGTAAGCACAGGAAAGCTGCTTATTTTATAAGTCTCGTGAACAAAGATTGGTTTCATGCTCTTCTTAATTTACGTCTTGGGATGCTGGAAGATGGTTCACATTCTGTCTTACATGTCTTCATTTATTCTTTTAGTGAACAGGCTCTATGACAGTATCAACCAAGGTTTACATTTGTTTTCTGCTCTCATTGTGCCCACACAACTTAGCAGAGTTTAATGGCAAATAGAATCATTCTGTAAACACACCTTTAGTGACTGTATGCTTACACCATGCATGTGGAGTCCCAGGTACTAAGGATACAAGACTGTGGGCCTTTCCTTTAGGGAGCTTGCATACTTGAAGGGAAAGAAAAATTATCAAATCGATGTTTCTGTGATACAGCATAAACTCAGATTGCTATGAAAGCACAGAGTAGGGGAAACTAACCCAAGGTGGTGAGGTCATGAGAGGCCTCCAGAGGGAAAAGTTGATGCTGACTCTTGAAAAATCGTAAACAATTATCCAGGTAGAGAAGATTGGAAGTGTTTAGGGAGCTTCACATAGTTCATTGTGGGGAAGGGATAAAAAGGGAACCGGAAGGTAGCTAGGAAGTAGTTTAAATGGAGTTTGTATGCCATGTGAGCTGCTTAAGTTTCGTTTTGTTGTCATCAGGAGCAGTATCAAACATGCAACAGAAGGGACAAAACCAGTGGCAAGGAGCTCAATTAGGAGATTTGCAGGACTCCAGCTGTGATTTGACAAAGTCCTCATGTGATCTGTGGTTGTCACTCCGTATATATTTCCTTTCCTAGTGATCAACAGGATTTCTAGACAACAACCCTTCCACCCACGTACAGTTTCCAGATTGGGTGAGATGATTTCATCCTCAGCTCCAAGGGTGATTCTTAATTAGCTTAAGTCAATCAGCGAAGTCCACAGCAAAGCCATAGTAATTGGATTGGGAATAAGCATGAGATTCAAGTGCTACAAAGGAGGCTGGAGAGTATCTGAGCTGGGCTTTTGGGAGAGAATCTCCTTTGCTCTCTGGGAGAAACACTGAGAGGGGTATTCTCTCTTCCTGAAGGAGGAAACACATAGGCTGGATGCTGCTGGTCACCATACTGTGAACAAGAAGAAAATCGGTCAACACTACACAGAACAAATATAGAAAAATAAATGTAGCAAACCTTACATTAAGCCTATGCTAATTTGGGACCTTCATGCTATCCATAATTATGAGGATTTCTTTTTATCATTCATGTAATTCAATGTTGTTGTTTCTGTAATTTGGGCACTTTCGTTCCTGGAATTACCTCAACTGCTAAAAACCTGGCTGTTGGCAGTGACGATCAGAATAAAGGCAGGATTAGATAACCTCTTCCAGTCTTTTTCTTCTGTGGTTTCCTTTCACCCTTAGTTTATCAAGAAGATAGTTGCTAACAGCAAGCTGATGACTGACAAAAAATGGCAAGAACATCACAAGAGTCAAATTACTCCTCCTCAGTCCCTGACAGCTCTTCTCCCCTCTCTGTTGCCTGCCTGCCTTTGGCTGCCAAGAATTTGCTGTTTGTTTCTCACTTCCCTCATCCAATCCATACTGAGAAGATAATGTGCCCAGCTAGCTCCAGAACAGAAAACTGAATGTCGGCACATATTTTGCCTTGAATGAAAATAACCTACCAGTGCAGAGTGGCCTCTACTATCCAGGGCTGAGGCTCTACTGGGTTCAGTGGTTAATTCTTCAGCCTTTTAGCTCTGGGATTTTAGCTAATGGCTTTAGGGTTTTGCACAAGCCCCATGCCCATGGTTTTAAAGTTACCACTGTGGATGAGAGCTTGTCATGTTGTATAATATTACAGTTATTCCAAAGCAGCTTTCTGGCTAAGTGACAGCATTTGACATGTCTCTAATACTGACAGTAGTGGTGACTTTCAAGTGTTCTATTTATGTCAGATAGAAGGGGAGTAGAGGTTTTTAAATAAAATAAACATGTGCAAAGAAAACTTCTGGTTTAGTACAATAAAAATGTCAAAACAGTCTGAATACCTGCTCTGCTATTTTCTTGCCATGGACTCTGGGGCAAGTTTAAAAGATACAGTATCTCTGTCTGTAAAATGGAAATAATGATGGCGCCTACTCTGAAAGGCCATGGTTATATAATCCAATGTCTCTAAGGTGCCTTATGTGATGCCAGGCTCATGCTCATCACAGACATTTAATAATGGTACATACATTAGTTGTTATCCCTGCCATGCCCATAAACTTTTTAAAGTAAACAGCTTCGCCGGGCGCGGTGGCTCAAGCCTGTAATCCCAGCACATTGGGAGGCCGAGATGGGCGGATCACGAGGTCAGGAGATCGAGACCATCCTGGCTGACACGGTGAAACCCCGTCTCTACTAAAAAATACAAAAAACTAGCCGGGCGAGGTGGCAGGCGCCTGTAGTCCCAGCTACTTGGGAGGCTGAGGCAGGAGAATGGCGTGAACCCAGGAGGCGGAGCTTGCAGTGAGCCGAGATCCGGCCACTGCACTCCAGCCTGGGCGACAGAGCGAGACTCCGTCTCAGAAAAAAATAAATAAAAAAAATAAAGTAAACAGCTTCAACCAAGCACTGAACTCCAGCAATTCTTAGGGAACACTGTTTCCACCATAAAGCTTAGATGACTGAATGATTGGGCAGCCACACTTCACATGTGGCCTATGAGGTGGCCAAGAAATTATGACCTGGGCTGGTGTCAAAATGTGAGTGGAGTCCAAGAGCCTGACAAACTTTTGCTTGAGTTCTGAAAGAATCAGAAAGAATTTATAGAGAGAAGTAATGATAGAGGGCCAAGGCATGAGCAGTCACTGAGGTTATGAGGAATGAGAATATAAGCAAAGTGGGCAAGTTCAGAGAGATTTATAGAGAGAAGGAGTAAGTGAGTTCATGGTGAGAGAAGCAGACAGACCCAGAGAAAAGCAGACATATTTAGAAAGGCTGAGTCACATGAATGGCAAAGCATAAGACTAAAGCCACCCACCTTTCTGTTGAAGTCTTTGCTACTTCCAGTAGATCATCTAGAGGCAGGATGGTCCAGGAGGAGTCTGTATGGTGGAACTGTAAATGGCACAGCTTGGGAATAAGAGTAGCTGGGCTCAAGTTTTGGCTCTGTCATTTACTAGCTGTGTCACTAGGGAAAGTTTCTCAATCTTTCCATGACTATAAAATGGGGAAAACCATGAAACCTACTATTGGAGCCATTATGAAGATTAAACAAGTTAGTACATGTGGCTTAGTATCATAATGGAACATAGTAATTTTTCAATAAATGGTTGTTAGCTATGATTAACTGCCATCAACTATACATCAATAGCCATAAAACTGATATACACATTAGCCCCTCAGCTCCAACATAACTCCTGTTTCCCTTATGTCCAAATGCATCTCATAATTAATATTGTTGTTAACCAAAACATTTTAAGTAAATATGTATTATCATTTTTATTTGAAGAAGAGCATGAAATAAGAGAGACCAAAAAAAAAAAAAAAAAGATTAGGCTGGGTGTGGGGGCTCACGCCTGTAATCCCAGTGTTTTGGGAGGCCGAGGCAGGAAGATCACTTGAGTTCAGAAGTCCAAAACATGCCTAGGCAATATAGTGACCCTGTTTTGAAAAATTAGCCACGCATGGTGACACATGCCTGTGGCCTCAGCTACTCTGGGGGCTGAGGTGGGAGGATCGCTGGAACCCTGGAGTTTGAGGCTGCAGTGAGCTAGGACTGCTCTACTGCATTGCAGCCTGGGCAAAAGAGCAAGATCCTGGAAAGGAAAGGGAAAGGGAAAGGGAAAGGGAAAGGGAAAGGGGCGGAGCGGAGCAGGGCGGGGCGGGGAGAGGCGAGGCAAGGCAAGGCAAGGCAAGAAAGAAAAAGAAAGAAAGAAAAAGGGGAGATTAAATGTTGAAATAGCAATACATTACATGCAATAATATTTACCTTAAAAAATTTTTTTGTCCCAATAATTTTTTTGAATCTTTTTATTTATGTGTCATGTTTTATCAGCCTCCTGAGTAGCTGAAACTACCGATGCACACCATCATCCAGGTTTTTTTTTTTTTTTTTTTTTTTTTTGATGGAATCTTGCTTTGTTGTCCAGGCTGGTCCCAAGAATTATTTGGTGCAATTCATTCATTCATTTGTATATTTATTCACTTTACAAATAAGTATTGAATTCACAGTATGCTGAAGTGCAATTAAAAAGAAAAAGTAGTCCCTGTACTTGTTCAGTTTTAAGGTCTTGTGACTGCAAACAAATGATAAGGAAAGATTTGAAAGTTGAAATCAAAAGATGAAAAACCTGCTTACTCCCTCACCTCATTTAGACAGTCACTCAAAAGTGAGTTCTTGTGTAACCAGCCGTATTAGTCAGGATAAGCTAGGTAACATGGTGGTAACAAATTAACACCCAATTACTGGCTTAACACAACAAATACATATTTCTTACTCATATTGTATTACATGTTTACAGTGGGCTTGTCAGGCGGACGGTTTTCCACACAATCACTGAGGGAGTCAGGTTGATGAAGGCTCTGCCATCTTTTACTGGCACTATTAGAGCACATGGCCAGCCTTCTTGTTACAGTGACAGAACAGCCATGAAGGATGCATAGGCACTCTTCAATGCCCTAAACGGAAGTGACCACATCACTTTGACTATGGATCCATTGGCCAAACCTAGTAATATAGCCCCATCTCACTGCAAGGGGCTGGGAATTTTAGGGTGCCAAGGTGCACAGGGCACATGTAATCTGTACCTATCTCAATTAAACTAGAGAGCCAACCCTAACCCTTTCTATCCCTGCCCCTGATTTATGTTTCTCTTTAGCTTGTATTCCCATTTTACATGTTAATTTGAGACTCTCTCTCCTAAATAGAATGTAAACTCTAAGCAGGAAAGCATTCTTGTTTATTTTATGCTTTGATACATCCCTAGCACCTAAAACAATGCTTGGCACAGAGATGGCACTTAATAAATATCTGCTATATAAATGAATAAATAAAACTTTGTAGTGGCAACATAAGTGGTAAAGAGCATAAAAAAGACCCTGAGACAGGAAGGAACTTGTCTCGTTCAAGCAAGAGGAAAAAAAAAAAAAAAGAAAGACTGGCTAGAACAGAATGGTAAGAAAAAAAAAAATGTTGCCCAATATTAATACGCATTTTCTTTAAGGCTTACAAGAAACTTTAAAGTACGAATTGTGATATTCCTGGGATTTAAAAAACTAAATCTTGGAAAAGTTAGCTAACATTCCCAAGGACAGACAGCTAGCAAAGTGAAGAACCAAAATTCATCCTGAGGTTATGCAATTTTTACTCTCCCAGAAAAGGGGTACTTGTCTGGCTGATTCAAACTAACCTATAGCTGCCAGGAAACCAGATCCATAAAGTCATTGTTATGTGACCAACTAAGAATAATATCTGCATGCCTATCCATTTCGGTACCTCCTTTTAGTAATGCCTGATTGGGTCCACATGGTAAAATTATGTTCAGTTACTAATTTCTGATAACTTCTACATGTACCCCATGATACACACTAAGGAGAGGTAAAAGCTTAATATTGAAACTCAGGGGCTTGATTTCAAATTAGTTGTTTGAACCCAGTAAGATAAACCACTTGATTATAAAAATTAGGGAAAACTGAAAATCACTCAAAATTAGAGAAAACTGAAAATCACCCACAATTAGCGTGAGTGCTAAGAAGAGAAACAAAAAGCTACAAAACCAATGAGGGGAAGTTTCACCCTCAGACCATTCATTACTCACAAGGAAACACTCATAACCCTTTGTAAACCTTCCAGAAGCCATCATCCAGAAGTAAAACCTGGATTTGGGTACTGGATACCACAGCTGCATCGGTCTTTGACATTTTGGTCTACCTCATATATAAAAAACAGGAAAATAAAGGTGCTCGACACAAAAGTAAGGATTAAATTGGAATAATGTATTTGAAGAGATTAGGAAAGTTCCTGGCCCAAAGTTAAGTTGTCTGCCTTCAAAAATTATATCAGAGGAAATCCCTCAAACATTGAGAAATGTTTTATATAACTCCATTAGAAATGTCAAAAAAAGCAAAAATCAAAATTCACTTTTCCAAAGCCCTTTTCATGTGCATGTGGCCTGCTCTCCCTCAGTAGGATGCATCTTCTAGGGACTTCTACCAGGAAGTAGCTGGGACAGTGAAGAGTCTACTCAACATCCAGCTTACATGTGCCCAAGGCCAGAGGCAAAAGTAGAACGATGATGGCATCCAGTATTCAGTGTGAATGAGAGCAATATCCTTATAAATGGATGGCCCAAAGTGAAATTTTCTGCTGCTATCTTGATGACTTTCTGAGGTTCATTTGCAGTATTTTTTAATTGAGTTATTTATATGTTTCAATCTAACAGAGTCATTTTCATTGCTTACAACTAAGAAACCTGAGTATTACAACATTCAGATATTAATAACCAAGTGTGACTCCAGCAAGGAGGTAACACAATAAAATCTATGAAAGATGACAGATCATAAATAGGTAGCAAGGTAGGTAGGTAGGTAGATGGATGGGTGGATAGATAGATGATAGATAAATAGATAGATGATAGATAGATTGGATAGATAGACGATAGATGGATAGAAATAATAGCTAACATTTATTATATAATTATAGGCCAGGAACTTTCCTAATCACTTCAAATATATTATTCCAATTTAAACCTTACATTTGTGTTGAGCACCTTTATTTTCCTGTTTTTCAGATGAGCAAACTGAGATGAAAAGAGGATAAACAAACTGCTGAAGACCACAGAGCCAGTATGGTAGATTATTGGTCCTCAAACATTCACCCCTTTTTCTCCAACCCACTCTTCCCTTGGAAGATTGTCCCTCCCTGTCCCACTGATGTTGAACTTGGTCATGATACTTGATTTGGTCTCATAGAAAGTTGAGTGTATGTCTCTTTATTTTAGGACTGTGTGACTTGTGACATAAGCAAAGTGTGAAGAAGCTTGCTTGTGGTTGGACTTTCACTCTTGCACTTCTATCTTTGCTATTAAAAGAACATGACCCAAGCAGCCTGCCAGTCTCAGAAGGATGAAAGGCAAATGCAGTACACCTGAACTGAACCAGTGGCCTGATACCGAGTACAGATGAGCACAGCTTTTATCAGCTAAACCTTGGCTGTCTCACAGATATCTGAGTAGGCAAACGATTCTATTTTTGGCATGCTTCTGAGTTTGGGAGTGATTTGTTACTCAGCATTGTTGTGGCAATAGCTAACTGATGCAGCTAGTAAACCATGCAACAAGGATGCAAACCCAGACAATTTGACTCTTCTATCTCCTTCCTAATTACTTTGCTGTATTACATTCCCTGCTAGGTCTGACAGTTTACACCAAATAAACACAAAGTGTTAGTGCACCCCAATCTCTGACACCTCTGCAGGTATAAGAAAATTTATCTGCTAGAAATGTCTATGATGGTGTCTCCATCTTTCTCTGACCACAGCCATATTTCAGTACATTAGCCTTGCTCTGTGTGGTTCGCCTCTGTGCTTTGTCTCACAGTGGTATCCAGAAGGCAATGTTTCCTGATGTCAGTGCCGATGTACATAGCACAAAGATTCTCAAACTCTTGGACAGCAATATCTTGAAATTCTGTCTTTAACTCATGAAGCCCAGCAACAAAATCTTAATTTCCTTTCCTGTTTCTTCTGTTTCTGTTCTGAATTCCCATTTCACAAAGCCAAGAGAAATGAGAAGTACATGGGGTGAGAGTTTTTATAAATAACTTGTGGTGGTTCCTAAATATCTCTGATGCCTAATTATACTTCTCGTGATTGAGAGGTTTTTATCCCCTTTGGTTTAGAAAGCACATCTGTGCCAAACACTCTCTAAACATGGTTTTTCCCATGACTTCAAAACTCTTCCCATTATAACTGTTTCTTGCCTGTTCCTTAGATGTTATTACATGGCCAAAGCACTGCCTTCTCCTGCCTGGTCTTACGTACATCTCTAACATGCCACGTCACCACTGCCCAAAGATTTACATCAGCACATACACCTCACATCTCCTTCCATTCTACTGACATTGTGTAACCAAGGACAAGATGATCAGGTGAAGGCAGCTGGCCTCGCCTGGTAGTTGTCTGAAGTAAGAGATGCAAGACACAGTTGATGATGTTTGAACATCAATGCTGATAAGCACCATCCATTTAATAGCCTGTCATTCATGTATTCGTAGGAGAAAGGAAAAAAATCTATAACTGGTTTGCCTTGCTTGAAAGTATAATGTTAGTTAACCCTAAAGAAGAAAGGAGTTTTGAATTCCTGAGAGTGGCACTTGGGTATGGTATGAACTGGATCCTTCATGCTTCTACTTTTCAGGTAATCCATATGATTTATTGCCCAGAAGGATATGGTGTGCTGAGTCAGATGAGGTACAAGTGGATCCTGCTCCTCTCAGCTAAAGAGGAACAAACCGGAACTG